TTCTGGGAGTTGAAGTCCACACATCTTAAAGTTGCCAAGGTTGAGAAACACTGCTTTAGCCTGTTCAGAGCATCTCATTCCACTTACACTGTGAACTTATTCTCACCGTTAGCCGTCCATAAAGACAGCTAACCTGCTATATTAGCTTCAGTCATCCCCATGGAACAGTAGACTTAGGGCAGGGGTTTTCACACTGTGTTTCATTCTGTGAGAACTGGATGGAGTTCTGTGAGAGACTAAGCACAGACAGACAAAAAGACACTCAAATGCAGCCAATTTTCTATCACTAGAACTTTGTCCCTTGATCAGAGGTTCTGGATTTTTTCTTTAAACTAGCAGGTTCTGAGCCTGAAAAAGTGTGAAAAATCCTGGACTAGCACATACTGTATATTTCAGTTGCAAACTTTCTAAACCAATTTGTTTTGTTGCTTGGTTTTACTTTTAGAAGACCAACAACCTCCAAAGCAGGATTCTGTTTGCTTATTACTGTCACAGTAGAAGTTAAATCATATATGAACAAAGACTTTATTGTATTGACATAAACGTCCTGATTTCTTGTTGAAATTCTTAGTATCTTTTATTTTAAAAAGCTGCTGTTCAGTTGAGTATGATGCTCTCTGTTGAGGAAAGAGCAAGTGAAGATAATAGAAGTGTGCCAGTTAAAAGTAAAAATAGCAAACTTTGTCCACCCACTTCCTCTTTAATTAAATTCTAAAGCTAGAAACATTACAGAATGTGTAGGGTTGACCTGAAAAAGATTAGTTCTTACTCAGTTTTCAAATATATATATATATATATTTCAAAGTGTTGGTTATGATTTTTAAAGCCCTTCATGGCATTGGCCTAGGTTACCTGACGTACTGCCTCATCCCAGTTACATTGCCCATCCCACCAGTCCGGCAGGAAAGGCATATTGTGGACCTCATCGGTTAGAGAATTTCAACTAGTGGGGTCTACAAGGAGAGCCTTTTCTGCTGTCGCCCCCGCCCTGTGGAATATCTTGGCCCCTACGGTGAGGTTGGCCCCCACTCTTCTGGCCTTCCAGAAGAGCCTCAGGACCTGGCTCTGCCAACTAGCTTGGGGATCCAATGGGGGCTCCCAACATTGAGGGTGCTGGTGCTTTGAGGATGCTCTCTCTGTCTTTTAACTTTGTATTCTTTTAATTTGCTTTGTAGTTTTTAAATGTTTTTATAATTTTTACCTATGAGCCACCTGGAGTCACCGATAGTGAGATGGGCAGCACATAAATTCTATTTATAAATGAATAAAATAAATATATATTAATTATTATATAATATATAATATATAATATAAAAATATCTATCTATCTATCTATCTATCTATCTATCTATCTATCTATCTATCTATCTATCTATCTATCTATGAAAGCACCAGGAGCTCAGCTCACCTCAAAGGAGGCTTTACCTTTTACCTTTCAGTGGGCTAAAAACCATTAGGAACTGGATAAATTTAAGGTTCATGCAAACAGTACAAAATCATAGTCTGAGAAACATACTCATGAAATGCCAAGTGTTGGGAGCTGTACAACAAGCCAGCAAGATTCATTGTTCCAGCATTAGCTTATTCCCAAAGTCTTTATCTCCAGAATCTATGCTCAGCATGAGCTGTCGCTCATCATCAAGGACCAGCTAGCCAGAAGGGATACTGAGGAGCAAAGCCTTGTTGCAACTGGGCATTTTATGTCGTTCAGGGAGAGATTTTGGATGCTGGGCCATCTGCATAGTGCAAAGTCTTTACCCCAGGTGAGACATGGCTGCTGGGAATTATACAGGGCCTGGTCCTAACATAGCCTCCATGCAGGTCCATGCAGAATTAACATGAATTTGTCCTTTGTTGAGTGAACCAGATCCCTACTGCCAATTTACTAATATTACAAGTCACTAATAATCTTCCGTATCTTCCATACAAATGTGGATGGATGCACAGTACATTAATTGTATCAAAGTATTCAGGTCCTGCTGGTCAATATGAAAAATTATCAGTGGTTTAGGCAGCAGACTCTACCACTTGAATCCACACCCAATTTGGCTTACGATTTCTTACTGGGATGTTACTAGAGATGCTTTAGTTAACATCATAAATGTCTCTCTGAAAGAGGGCGAGAAGTCCCTTGCATAAAGGACACAATTATTAGCCCTCTTCTTAAGAAGCTTACCCTGGTTACTCAGGGTTGGATAAATATAGGCTTCTCTAACTTCTCATGGTTGAAGTTGACTGGGAGAATGGCAGTCCTGGCTAAAGTAGGAAAACATATTATCTTGACCCACTTCAAACTGCCTTTAGTGTGGGCTATGGGATGGAGACTGCCTTGGCCGAATAAATGATAATTCTTTGGGAATTGGCACAGGGAGTTCAGCTCTTTGGGTTCTTCTTGACTTCTAAGCAACTTTTGATACCATTAATCTTGGTATCTTTTTGATATGACTGAGAGATTTAGAAATAAGAGGCACCGTTTATGGAGCTCTTTCTCCGGTGCTTTTCAATATCTATCTGAAACTAGGGGGAGATTACCAGGAGATCTGGAACTGGCTATCACTGTGCTGATAACATCCAGATCTATTTCTCAAGGAATGGTGTGGCTCACCTGAATACTTGCCTGGAATCAGTAATGGGATGGATGAGGGATGAAAAAATGGAAATTGAATGCAGAAGACAGAGGTGTTCATTGTAGAGAACCATAATTCCTTTTAAAATATATATATATTTATTGAGAATTTTAATTACAATAATAAAGCAAATGCAAATTAAACTCAAAGAGAAAAAGAGAGAGAGAGAGAGAAGGAATAAAAAGCGCAAAGAAAAAAGAAGAAAGTAAGAAAAAGAAAAAGAACAGAAATATTTAAAGAAGTGACTTCTGATCTTCATTATAAGTATAAACAGACTTAATAACGCTTCACCCCCATAAGGTTACAGATATCTCTTCTTCCCATAACCCATCCCTTATCTATATGCAAATCCATAAATCATCAACTTTTCAGTCCTGGTGTGAGCAAAAAGTCCGTAAAGGAGTCCCAGAACCTTTTAGAAACATGTCTTATTTTAATCTTGGTCAGACAAACCAACTTTATATTCCTTCCTTTAACTTCTAGAAATCTTGATTTTCAATTCATTCAGCTGTTGTTGTAAGATTTGATCTCTCTTTAATTTTTTTTCCCCCATCCCAAAAGCTTCTTCAAGGCTTTAGCAAACCTCTTTTGTAAATGCAATAAAAAATCCTTATCCAGGTCATTCTCTTGGTTTATCATTTGTATTTCCACTTTAGTTGTCTTCTCTGTTTTATAATCCATGCTTTTTTATTACCCAGTATTTCTGGTTCTAATATTTCTATATCAGGCAAAATTTGTTTCACATCTGTCATTCCTTTGTTAACATCTTTTGGACATAGTCTATCCATAGAAGCAGACATAATTGCCAACATTGTAACTTCTAATTTCTGACCCCATTCTTCAAAAATCTGGAGTATTTCAAATGTCATAACATTATATGTCATTTTGTAAATTCCAGTACTAACCAAAGAGTCACTTTGTATGAGATGGGTGGCTATATACATATGATAAATAAATAAATAAAAACAAAAGGCAAGCTATCACGTTTTTTACTTTTACTTTTCTGCCTGGAATCTTTAGTCCCCTTTAGTGTCCTATCTCTGAAATCTTAAAGTCTCAAATCTCTGTTATGACTTAGGATAAACAAAACAATGTAGTTCCCATGAAAGGCCATTTATTTATATAATTATTTCCAAAATCTTATACTAAAAGTCCTGATATTCCAAATTTGTCTGGTCCCTTAATTCATTTATAACTTTCTTGTATCAAAATATTATTTAGCTTTTTGCCATTTATTTCCAATTCTTTAAGTTATTAAGTTTATAGTTAATTTTACTTTTGTTTGAGAATGAAGGTAAACTTACCAGGTGGCTTCTCAGACTTGTTGTTCTGAAGATCTCTAATAGCCATAAGATACTTAAATAGGCAATTTTTAAAAGTGATTAGAAAGTGAGGTTAGCAAACCTAGTGTCCTTTAAAAGGCTCCGCCTCAGTTGTGAGCATGATGTATGATCTCTTCGTCTCCTGGCGCTCAAACCCATGGGAGACCATTTTACTTGTTATTTGAACTGTTGTTAAGGTGTTGATTTTATTTATTCATTTTTTTATTGTAAACCACCAAGAGATTTCTGTGGTTGGAGGCATATTAAATAAAATGAAATGAAATGAAACAAGCATTTTCTACAGTGGCTGTTTTGTGTTAAAACTATTTGAATACTTTTTGGAAAAGGTAATTAAATGGTTGTCCTAGATAGGCATTGGTCTTTATTTGGAAATTAAAAACTTTTTACATGTTATTGCTAGTGAACTGAGAATGAAACACAGAAACCTGTATAAGATGTCCAAATAGGTAAGAATTAAGAATCAAGCCTGAAAAAAGGGCTGTAGTTCAGTGGTAAGAATGCAGGGTTTGTGTCAGTCCCAAATTTCTCTTTTTTGAAAACCTGGATAATCAGCATTTAGTAGACAACATTGGAAGACTTGGTGTAAAGTATACGCTGTCTTATGGCCAGATAAGCCTATATTTGTAAGGCTTGGTTAGCAGTAAGCTCTCCTGAATAGAAACAATGGGACATATGTTTACGCAGATAAACACATTCGTACCATAACCCCGACTCGTCCACCAGCACATGCAGGTTTGGTTTGCAGCAAAATCTACTATTTTTATATAACGTAAAGGGGCATTAAGTCACAAGTAGATAAAGGGAAGAGTCTACACTGGCTTCCATAGAAGAGGCATCTGCATTGATCCTTGAATGAAATATCATTCATTGTTAACTGAATAGTTGTTTCAATTAAAGCAATTGGATATTATGAGTTTTTTTCTTCCTTTTTTTTTCAGAAAAACGAATGGCTATGTTTGAACTGCCAAACTCAGAGGCTGCTAGAAGGAAGCCTAGGAGATCCTGCTCCAATGCCACTGCCCACTTCAAAGCCACAGCCAACTGGATCCCCCCGGCACCAAGGTGGAGGTCAGCAACAGAGAGGAGCCCAGCACCATGAAACATCAGCTGCTAAAGACAGGCATATTGCACATCTCAGGACTTCAGAACAAAGCAAACTACCAATTGCCACAGTCCAAAAAAAAATGCCTGCTGCTCCATCTGAAGAAAAGCCACTGCCTAAATTAGCTGAAGAGTCTCCAAAACCTTCAGAAAGTCCATTGTCAAAAGGGAAGATTACAGCTTCAAAACCAGAAAGAGATATCAAAGATAGCACGGTCGCATCTGAATCTCAAAAAACAAGAGAGCAAGAGGTAAGCACCTTTTCACTTAGCAGTGTATGAACAGTGGATGGCAGTGTGAGATGTGTTGGAAGATGTTCAGCCTAAGACAATGTTTCTCAATCTCCACAACTGTAAGAAGTGTGGCTGGCCTGGGGAATTCTGGGAGTTGAAGTCCACACATCCTAAAGTTGCTGAGATTGAGAAACACTGACCTAAGAGCTAGTGAGGAAAGTTTATGGCAGGCAGACTGGGGATCGTAGAATCCATCATGGCTTACAGCTCAAAAGATTTCTTTTCAAACATACATGTATGCAGGAGAGTAGGTTGTTTGTTTTTCCCTTGCTGGTTTTTTTTAATCATCCTCAGCTTTCAGAACATTTCTCAGTGTCTCAAGACACTCTTATTATCCCCCCAAGAAATATCCCTTCCAACACAATTCTGTTTGCAAATGTGCTAGTCTCAAAAATATATGTAATTTGTTTTCAAGTCTCTTCTGATCTGGTGAATAAAGAAAGCATGATAGTATAGTTTATAGTTATAATAGGACATATTTACTGTAAATCTTTTTGTGATAGTTCATTCACAATCTAAATGCAAGATTTGTTGGATCTGAGCACAGCTCCATCATTTTGTACCAAACATTGGCCAGTCAGATGTTTCTGGGAAGCATACAATCTCTCTCTCTCTCTCTCCCTCTCTCTGATCACATTCGTATACTGTATGTCCAAGGAGGATCCAAACCAAGTATGTTTGCTAATGGTCATTGATTCACACCAGCCTTCCACAACTCAGATGTGCATTTCCAGATGCACATCTGCAAGATGCCTCCTTTACTGGAGGCCTGGTCATTCCGTGACATCTTTTATTTCTGTCCCAGCTGTAAGTCGAGTATATATGTGGGGGATGGGCAAGTCACTACATTTTCAGAAATCTTTGCTTGCTTGCTGAGGGTAATTTCTGCAGCAAATGTTCCTGTGGTATCTAGAATAAAATTTGGAGCTATGAAATCAGTATCAGATTCTTTCTGCTATTGGGTAATAATAGGATAGGAATTACCAGAAATTAGCCAAGTTTAGTTGGAGAGAGTAAAGAGAGAATCAAAGGAGGCAGAGTGTTAGGTGTTACTGCACAGCAGGAGGCTAATTATGAGATCTCCAGAAAAAAGCAAATTGAATTTGAGTACCTAAGAGAACAGCCATTAGTTGTTGCTAGTGGAAGCATGAAGGTGAAGAGGAGCAAGCCCTGTTAGGTTAAGGTCTCACAATACACCTCTTCCAATCACCATCTGGAGTGATTAATAAGGACCAGGGTATTCCGTGGATAAGTCACACAGCAGACAATACCCTTCAAGGTAGAAGCTGACTGTGGGACCTGATTGGCTTTGTTTCCACTTGCTTCAATGTATGAGACAATTAAGGCCCATGCAAAGGGAAAGTAATGAAACGAAGGCTGGTGTGGGTCTTCCGGGCTGTGTGGCCGTGTTCTTGAAGTTTTGTTTCCTAACG